TAATTTCAGTACTGGTATGAGGATTCAACCTTAACTCAAATTTATTAGGATATTCTTAACAAAAGGTTTGCAATTTGCAGTTTTAGGATTCCAAATTAAGTCTCAAAATATTTTTAAAAACAGAAAAGCCACCTTAACTGACTGAAAACTTCATTTAAGAAAGTGCCCTGGCAATTTTATTTTACTAAAAACAAAAGTAAATGAATAAAAATTCTTTCTAGAGGACTAAAACATGTTATACCTCTGACTTAGCACTCCTTCCATTCTGAAGAACTTTTTTGATAACTGCTTTCATCATAGAATGATCTAAAGTAAAATGAAAATTGAAATTGTAGTAACTTTTCCAATGAGTGGCTATTTCTATTTAAAAACAAAAGTCAACTAATCATTACTTTTCCCATAAAATTAAAATATTCAAACCAAAGTTGTGATACACCCATGAAGCTGCTCCTCTCTCATCCTCCTTTCCTTAGTAACTGTACCACTCTGTCATACACATTATCACTGAGGGACATTTTAAAAATTACTATTTCCTTCATAGCTCACATCTAATCTATCTACAAGTCGTCTTCTTAGTTATACTTTGTTTCATCACCTCCAACCTTCCACCCTAAGCTAAGCCATAACCATCTCTCACTTGGACCACTTCGAACTAGTCTGTTTTCCTTCTTATTCCTCCCAAATGAAATGCTAACTTGGCTCATGCCTTTTTCCAGCTCAAAACTCTCCTGTGGTTTTAATTCACTCTAAATAGTCCAGGTCCTTACCTTGGCCTTTAAGACCTCAAAGTAGCCCCTGACTCGCTGTCTGATCTCATAGGATACCAGATTCTCCCTCACTAAGTGCTCCAACCATGTTGGTCTCCTTGCTTTTCCTTAAATACTCCATCAACTCTACCACCTTGTACTTTTATTCTCATTATTTCCTTGTTCTAGAATTGGTAACTCTTCTCTCCACTCAGGTCTCTCTGTATGTCACTTTTCCAGTGATGTTGTCCCTTAACAAACCTATCTAGTACAGTCTCATCAGACCCCATCTGTTTTCTTATTTTAAGGCATTCTTGCACTTCCTGCTATCTCAAATTACACTACTTATCTGTTTACTCATTTGTATTTGATTTCCCCCATTAGAACATAAGCTGAGTGAGAGTAAGACTTTAACTAGCTGGTAAGTTTAGTGCCTAAACCAGTGTTTGGCACATAGAAGTATTCAAAAATTATTAGTCAAATTAGCAAATGAATGAAATGCTCTCTCCCAAGAATTCAGAGGTTCCAGAAAAAAAGAAAAAAAAATCAGAAATAATGCTCTTGGTAGAAGCAGGTTTATTATCTGGGTTCACCTGTATTCAGAGTAGCAGCCAAGAACAATTTACAAGTATAACTCATTTTAATTGGCAAATCACCTGCTAAAAACATAAGGAAGTATAAGATTAGAAAAGTATAAGATTAGGAAGATAAACATATTAAGCTTTAAAAAATGTCAATACATGAACAAATTCTTTTTATTCTGCTATTTGTTAGTTTTTTTAAAAAAATGAGGTGACATACCAATGAGTGAATTTTTTCTTATATCCAGAATGACCAGTGTTCTATTGGTTTCAAGGGCCTCTAGTAAAGCTTTGGCTCCTTCATTGGTGAGGCCACACTGCTGCAGGTCAAGAGCTTTTGATGAAAAACAATAGGTCATTTGCCAACTCTCTACATGTTTTTTT